TTCTGAACCCACTATTTTTTGTTTTGGTGGCGTTGCCTTGAATATTCCGCATCTCGGTAATTATTTAAAATAAAACCTCACTCCACATATGAGTTTTTTTGTTTTTCGTTGGTGTGAAACACTCAATCTAATATATTTTATGTAATATAATATAATAACATGTTTATGTATACACATTTATAAAAAAAAAAATTAATTGTAAAAACATTTTTTATCCCGAAAAATTGCTTATAGGAGAAAAGAGTTCGTATACAATACCATATGCTTTAATAGAAAATTAATGTTTAACTTTTAAGAGATACTTTTATATTTAACACTTTTAGTTAATAATTACTGAGTTTACAATATTAACTTTATTTACATTCATTTCTTTCATCCCATACATAATTTACTGGAAATACGAGATGAGCGGTATTATAAATTTTTGACTGATGTCTCTGAGCAACTTTAAGTGGAATTATTTTAGTGAAATTACGAACATTTAAGGAAACAATAATTTATTTTCTATGCTGAGTTTCAACTTTTACTAAATTATCACTACATGCTATTCATTGGTTGTTGAGTGGTGTTTTAGTATTACTAATCTCTTCGAAAAAAAAGTCAATTAATACGTATATTGCACAATTTCTTATAGTTATAACCAAATTGTAATTATTAGTATTTGGATCTGATAATTAAAAAAAAATTGAACTTTTGAAATTATAAAAGTACAATTGATGAAACATATATAAATGAAGTAATAAACATTATCCATAGTTCCTACATAAACAATTTTACATGCTTCAAAGATGTTTACTAAAATACATTTTAAAGTTCCAGTATTTAAAAATGGATTTATATAGTGTTAGACATCACTAATTACTAGCAAAATGTATGGCTAGAACAATTATGAACTTTAGCATTGGATAGATGCATTACATATACAGTTTACAAATGATATCTACAGTTTACAGTTTTTTCAAATGATATCTACTTAGTATTTAGTTTTATCTGAATTTAATGATGGGATAATTTTTATGCATTTTAGTCTATTAGTGTTTACTTAATGTAGAAATTATACTTACTATAGTGTAATAGTTTGTTATTACAATAGTTATCTACCGTCATTACACTAATGAAGTTTTAATAAATTATGTTATAATATAAAAAGTATGATATTGAAGAGATTTATAACTATAAATATAAACATATATATATTTTAAAAGTTTTCCAGAGATCACATTAGATTAAAAGAACACATTAGATTATCTTAACAATTACTTATGTTAATACAAAGAAAGAATTAGAAAAAGAATCGAACTTTTTTTATATAAAAACACTTTTTAAGTATTTCTGTATTTGTGATCATTAGTGCTGAGTTTTTACTGGCATTTATCGTTTGTATGTTATTATATTCTCATAAATGGAGCATATGGGCTCTGTTATCAATTTAAATAAAAACTTTAATTTATTAATAGATAGCATGTCGTTCCAATGTCTCTAAGAACTTTGGAGGTTTCATAGGTATTGACCTATTCTGTAAAATTATGTTTTGATCTCCTGAGATGATGTTCACATATTATGTTATTTATGTTAATGAAACACTACAAAGCTCCATTTCTAATGTTAGATATAAATATTGTAAGATGATTATTCAAATTTCATGAAATGAAAAGTACATGCAATCACGTTAGCACAGAATAATAAAGCAATTTTTGAAATAACTGACAAAAGCATTCTTCACAAGATCCTCTATTAATAAGCGAGAATTGCTGCATATACATTATTGGGCTCTATGATCTTAAGCGCTATATTGACATTATTGAAAAACTTGAAATTCAGTGGCTTTGTTGGTTTTTCTATATTGCTAGGATGAAAGACAATACTCATTAAAAAGTATGAGCATTGAAAAGATAGGATTAGATTGAGGAAACAATAATTGCATATTTTATGAAAGTTTGAAGAATGAGGATCACATGCCGAAACTTGGCCATGAGTTGATATGGCCAACTAATGAAGCAGACGATAAGTAGAGCGTATAAAAACAAATACGTTAAATGGACTATGTTGCAAGCGTTGTATTATCATAATTATATGATTTCGGCAGACGGCAAAATCGCCACAACTGTAAGCTTTATATATATGGTTGTATATATAATTACACCAGTTAATAAATTGCTTTGTAATACAACAAATTTCAAAACGAAATAATAAATAAAACTAAATACTACTAATTATGTTATTTATTTTTTATATCATTTAAGATCTAGGAAATATTTTAATTTTTGTGGTTAATTATTTTTTTGACTTATCACTTATTTTTACATTTGAATGATTTTTCTTTAAATGAAATTGACAATGAGTTTTATATTATTTAAACGCTTTTAATCATTTATATATAATTTTTAAATAATATCGTTTACAAAAAATTTATATATGTTATTATAATTTTGAATTATTTATTAATTATTTATGTAATATATAGGTTTTTAATTAATTGTGTGTTATTTATATATTATTTTTTATATTGTTTACAAAAAATTTATATAATTATAATTTTGTATTACTTATAAATTATTTTTATAATGTATAGTCCTCAGGGACCACAAGATAAATCCGATCAAAAAATACATAAAGGATAGAACCCTGAAATTATTTATGAATACTGACAGGCTTACCAACACCGTTTTATAGAATCTTAGGATCCTCGGAGAGGTATGCAGATTTGAGGTTAGTTATTACTTAGTCTGATGAAGTGATAAACAATAATTACTTCACCTCGCAGTTAGTAGAGAGTAATAGTGATCAAGTGTACTGACTCAACTAGCCTGCATATAATAATAATAAAGTATTATTTCGTACAATAAAAATAAATACTATTTATAACAATTATGTTGATTTCTTAAAACTATTATCTATCTATACTACGGTTATGATATGATATGATAAGACAAAAGCAATACAAAATTAAAACTGATATTAAAGAAAAATTTATATAATTATAACTTTGAATTATGTATTAATTATTTATACAATATATGGTATTAACGATTTTGTTTATATATTATTTATAAATTCATTTTATTTTTCATAATAAAGAATTATTTTGTACAATAAAAATAAATAATAATAAATAAATCATATTTATTAGCATTATATTTAAGTTTTTATTTTACTATCTATTACAATTATGTTGATTTCTTAAAACTAATATCTATCAATACTATGGATATGATATGATATGATAAGACAAAGGCAATACAAATCTGAAACTGATATTGATTTTGAAGAAAAATTATATTCTAATGCCGCTCGGAAGTAATTTTTATTGTGCTTCATTGAAATGGTATGTTTAAACTAATTTGCTTTATTATCTAAGCGTGGCATATTGTATCATAAAATAAAAAAAAAAAAAATAATAATAATATATAAAACAAAAAATCGTATAGTCTTTCATTATTTAATTAAACAAAAGGTAAAGAAACTGTTCCGCCTTTGACTTTGAAACTCGTAAATCTAAGCACACGGCTAAGGTGTATTTGCATTAGACCCCATATTATGTTTTAATCAAAATGCCTCAAAATAATTTGATTATTTAATAATTATATAAAATGAAGTATGTGGTGGAGTGTGCGTGAGGTACGTGTATGATGTCATTAGAGTCATCTAAAAGAAAAAGTGATTGTAAACTTCAATGGGTTATAAATCAATTTTGTTCCAAATTATGCAAAGATTTATGATCAAGATATTTTTCACACATATTGTAAAATGAAACAAAAAAAGTTAGAAAAAAGTCGACACTTAAGTCACAGTTTTATTTTTAATTATCAAATAATAACAATGTTAAGTTTTTTTAGCAAAAAAATTACAAAAGTTTCTGCATTCAAAAAAATGAAATTCTCGTTGAAAAACTGAAATCATAACATAAATTTACTTGAGCTAAGGAGGCTTTTTGACGGCACCATGCGCTGTAAATACTTCAAAGGTAATTTTTATGACGTCGAGTGTCTGCAAATGGTGTATGCGCAACTACTTGCGCAGCCACTAGCGCAGCAGAAGACAGGGTAAGCGCAGGGTATGTGGATTTTCATCAATGAAATGAAAACGCTCGGAAGGTGAGCCAAAAAACGTTTGCTTTGTCGTCGTTAGTCGTTACTTGTTACTTGTTATCGTTAAGTAATCAATGAATGAATGAAACATTTTTTACCATTGTACGCGGCAGAGCATTAGCTCGAATATTGTTTGTCTATTAAGAAAACAATTAAGCTTTTACAGTTGTGGCCAATTTTGTGAAGACTATTATCTTTATGTTGTCTGTCTGAATCACATCTGCAAGAAAAATGTTAAATATTTTAGCGATTTTCGGATTTCATTCAAAAACTTATTGTGCATTTTTTGTTTTTTTTTATTGATATTCTAATAAAAACAGAGAGCATCAAATTTTCTGCTAATTTGTTTTAAAGTTTTTTCTCAAATACATATATTAAGTTTTGTTGGTGTAAATGAGCGCTTTCAGTGCAACTTCAGGCCAAAATTATTATTATATTCACCAACTCATTGCTTTGTTCGAAAAAGTAAATAATTCAAATCCGTAAGCAATACAATTAACGAATTAGACAAAGTAACTGCTTGCCTTGCTTTGCTCTGTGCTGATATGCGCTGCTCTGCTCTGCGCTGCTCTGCTATGCTTTGCTGTGCCATGCTATGCTCTGCATTACTCGGAGCAGCAGCCAAGTGAAGTAGCTTTGCGTAGACAGTTTTTGCGCGGGATTTGTTATAAATAACCACAAACCCCGTTTAAAAAAGTTAGTTGAACGCAGTCGGCTTTTTGGTTAGTTTGGTAAAATTTGCAATTGCAGCCGTCATTGCATGCAATTGAAACGGACCAAAGGAATTCATTTTGCACAGTTTCATTTGGATTTGATTGAATCCAAAATTGTAAATTGAAAATAGAAAAGTTAGCAAGTTTTTATTTGAAGATTTAACGGCTAATTGTGAAAAACTAAAAATTGCATGTGGAATTAACTAATAATTATTATGATTGCAGTTTGAGCATTGAAAATAAAATCGAAACAATATTGAATATAAAAACGAAATATGATATAAGATTTAAATTGACTTTTGAAGAAGTGTGCAAATTGTAAAAAATTTTAATAACTTTGTTTAAGTGAACTGAATCGAAAATATTTCATTTATTAATTTTTATAACAAAATATAAATTTTTAAAGATTTGTTTGTTATTATTTGGATTTCGCATAATTGCTTAAAGGTGAGTAACTATTTTCATTTTTTTACCTATAAAAATTTAAATCCTCATAAACTACTTAAAACATTACAAAAAACTTTTCACTTAATTCCAATTGAGCTATAATAACAATATACAATTAATAAAAAAATAAAATTTGAATATTTAAAACAAACAAAAAATTATATATGTTTGCATTTTAATTATTTTTTTAAAACGTATAAATTGTACTTAGTGTAGTATTTTTTAAAAAAAACCTGCAATTTATTCATAAGAGAGGTGTTGAAAATTCCAATTGTACCAAAACAATAAATTTTCAATTAAAAATATTTGTATAATTTTGCTTTAAATTTAAAAAAACAAAAAATTAAAATTTATGCTTCCTGAATAATAATTTTGCTTAATATATAAAATAAATATTAACAAAAAATATTTTTGTTTCTTATTAAAAATTTGGCTTAAAAATATATAATAAATATTAACATAAAAATATATTTTACTCTGAATAATAATTTGGCTTAATTTATAAAATAAATATTATAAAAATATATGTATTTGTTTCTGAATAATAATTTTGCATAAAAATATAAAATAAATATTAAATTAGAAATATATTTATTGCTGAATAATAATTTTGTTTAAAATATAAAATACATATTATCACTAAAATATTTTTGTGCCTAAGTAATAATTTTGTTTAATATATAAAATAAAAACTAACATAAAAATATTTTTTTTTCTGCATAATAATTTGGCTAAATATATATGAAATGAACATTAATATAAAAATATTTTTGTTTCTAAATAATAATTTTGTTTAAAATATAAAATAAAAATTAACACAAAAATATTTTTGTTCCTAAATATTAATTTTGATTAATTATATATATATATAAATTAATTAATTATAATATTAAAATATTTTTGTTTCTGAATAATAATTTAACTTATAAATATAAAATAAATATTTATATAAAAATATTAAAATTTTGAATATATAAATATATAAAAATTATATAATACAGTCAAACTTCCATAACTCGAATTTTCTATAAGTCGAACTAAATAAAGTGTAACAGGATTTAAAGAGCAAATTACATACAATTACAAAGAAAAATATTTAACTCGAAGTCTCCATAAGTTATGGAAGTTTGACTGAAATTTAAAAGGTTTTTATATAATAAATAATTACAATAAATATGTACTTAAAAAAGTACTTCATAATTTTAATAATGTATTCTTAAAGAAATTATTTTCAATTAAAATTTTACAGATTATACAAAATAAAGAAGAATAATATAAAATATATAATATATTTAATCTTATATATAAAATTAACTTTGTCAAAATGTTAGTTACCGTACTCCTCCGAAACGGCTTTACCGATTTTTACCAAATTTTATATGCGTATTCAGTAGGTCTGGGAATCGGCTACTATCTATTTTTCATACCGCTAAAGTGATTAGGGTGTCCCTATCCAGCAAAAATATCTTTATTGCTTTAACAAAAATTTTTTTATTTTTTTGACATAAATTTTTTTATATTTTTGAAAAAGTAAACTTGCTATAATATGAAAAGTTGTTGTCTATGAAAATACTGAATTCATAAAACTGCCCCCTAATTTTTGCACTATCGTTGATTCCCAAAATGCTCTCATTGACCGCGTATTTCCAGATGTACACATACAATACATAAATCATGGGTGGCTGGCAGAAAAAGCCATTAGCAGCAAAAAAAAACGTGGACGTTGATGAATTAAACTTCAAGAGAAAGCAGACATTGCCAGGCGACTTAATATCATACAAATCGATCGATACAGTTTGTGATACCAACGAAGTTGTAAACTATCCAGCAGAATTTTTAAACTCACTGGATTTGCCAGGCATCCCACCACACATTTTACGACTGAAAGTTGGATCACCGATTATTTTACTTCGGAATTTGAACCCACCACGGCTATGCAATAGTACGCGATTGGTAATTAAAAAATTGATGAAAAACATTATCGAAGCCACCATTTTGAATCGCAAGGTCCGAAACGAAAAAGTTTTATTGCCACGAATTCCAATGATTCTCACAGACAAGCCAATTTAATTCAAACACGTTCAATTTTCTATTAGATTGGCATTTGCAAAGACCATCAATAAGTCACAAGGCCAAACGATGTCTGTTTGCGGTCTTATATATAAAATTTCCATGTCACAATGTTAGTTACCGTACTCCTCCGAAACAGCTTTACCGATTTTTACCAAATTTTATATGCGTATTCAGTAGGTCTGAGAATCGGCTACTATCTATTTTTCATACCGCTAAAGTGATTAGGGAGTCCCAACCTAGCAAAAATATCCTTATTGCTTTAACAAAAAATTTTTTTATTTTTGACATAAATTTTGTTTATATTTTTGAAAAAGAAAAATTTTTTTCTTAATATTTTATGTAACTACGCCAACAAGTACATCGAGCATTTACATACACTTCGTTCTTCGTCTTCGCCTTGCATGGCAGATGGAAAATGTACTAAAAATTGAAATCTAAAGCTTTCACTAATGATACTATAACAAATACCGACGGATATCCAATATATCGTCGAAGAAATCCCGATAATGGGGGACAATGGCGGGTGGTGCCGTATTCGCCTCTGCTAAGCTAAACATACAATGCTCATTATTAATGTTGAGTTTTGCAGTTCTGTGAAGAGCATCAAATATATAAGTATGTCCATAAAGGCAGTGATATGGCTGTGTTTAGAGTAGAAAATACTAATATAAATGCTCCTCCAATGAACAAAAACGGTGAAATTACGCTCTACCAAATTGGTCGGTACATCAGCTCCAATGAAGCTGCTTGGCGTATCTTCGGTTTTCTAATTCATGAACGGGATCCAGCAGCTGTTCAGGTAGCCGTTCATCTTGAAAACGGTCAGCGTATTTTTTTCACGAACGAGACAGTGATTGATCGTGGTACAAATCCACCTAAATCTACACTCATTGCATTTTTTTAATTGTGTAATAGTACGGATGATTTTGGTGCCTTTGCAAGAACATTACTCTATTCACAAGTACCACGCTATTTCACATGGGCTCAAAAAAAAATGGATGCCCCGCAAGCAAGTTTCACCAGTTTATGCATGTCTCAATTTATTTAAATCGAACGCTTATTTATAGTTAATCCAAGACACACTGAGTGCTTTTATCTTCGACTGTTGTTGGTTAATGTTACTGGCCAATTATCATTATTATTATTTACAGTCAATCCAAGACAATTTAAATTTGAAGATACAACAGTTGTTGCCAGGGAACTTGGTATCATACAAATTTATTGATTTTAAATTAATAATTTAATAAATGAACTATAATAACTTAAAAATAATATTGTTTGGCGTTTATTTTTATTTTCCTTTTCGTTCATAGCGCTCCATGCCTATTTCATGCATATACCACATACTTACACACTTATAATAAGTAAGTTACTTTTTGTCTACACTAGAATTTATCTAGAAACTAGAAATAATTTATAAGGCAAAACAACGTTTGTCGGATTATCTAGTAATAATATAAAATATATTTTTATTAATAAAAATATCAAAATTTTTGAAAATATAAATATATTAAAATTATATAATAATTTCAAATATTTCTTTATAATAAATAATTACAATTAATATGTACTTGAAAAGGTACTTCATAAACTAAATAATATATTTTTTAGAGAAATTATTTTCAAATAAAAATTTACAACCCATATAAAATAAAAATGAAGTTTATAATATAATATATTTTTATTATGATTTTAAAAATCTATTCCAATATTCTCATATCTCTTCGAAATATATTTATGTCATTGTTATAAAATTTTTATTTTTAATTATAATAAATTTATGCAATCATAAATATAAATTTAAAAAAAGTAATAATAAACTCAAGCAATGCAATAATATTTTTTTATTATATCATAAATAAATTCAAATTAATTAAAAAAAATTAATAAAAATTAAAAAAAATAAATTAAAATTTTTAAAAAGATTGAAAAATAACAACTACAAAATTTCTAATTTTTAATTTATATAATATATTATATAATATATAATTATATAATATATTTTAATTTTTAATTTTTAAAGCGCTTAAATGTATATAATCAATTACAAAATAATTAATACACTACATTATTTAGTATTTAATAATTCTAATAAAAATAAATTAAATTAAATACTAAAATAACTGTTGGCATATATTAAATATGCCAATAAATACTAAAATATTTAGTATTTAATAATTCTAATAAAAATAAATTAAATTAAATATTAAAATAACTATTGGCAACAGAATAAAAAAACTGTTTATTGATTTTTTGTTTTGAATTCATTTTATATATTTAAATCGAGAGCTTATAATAACTATATAAAATAAATTAAAAGTGAAAAACAAATCAACAGTTTTTGATTTCTTTTAAATTAAAGATTTTAAATATATTTAAATTTAAATGAAATAAATTTGAAAATAAATAAATAATATATTTAATTATAATATTATATAATATATCATTAAAAATTATAATATTAATAAATTATATAATTTGTATAGAAATGATAAAATTTATCAAGTTTGTGAAATATAATAACTTATGATAAGAATAATTAAAAAATATTTTTTTAATAACTATTTAGTTTTATTCTATATGAAAAATGTAATTTCGAGTTACAAATAAATATTATCATAAGAAAACGTAATAAACGTAATTAAGTAACTCATAAATAATTCATAAAAAAATTTTTTAACAAATTAAATACGTAAAAAATTTTGAATAATGTGTTTACAAATAATAAAAAAATATATTCAATTAAAATAACAAATAATTGTTAAATTGTTTTCATTTTATCTGATTTATAATTAATACTTAAATATACTATTTAATTATAAAGGTCTATTACCCCGCAATATTAGTATTGATATAATATAGTATATAAAAAAAATTTGATTTTAACTGAAATATATATTAATTTTTAACTTCATAGCAATAAATAAATATATTGAAGATTGTTTAATAAATTTAAAATTTTTTTGAAAATAATGCTTTGAATCATTTTACTATAATACAAAATATAAATATAAAAATATAAATATAAATAATATAATATACATATAAATAAATATAAATATAAATAATGATTTAATTCTTGATTTTAACGCTTGAAGTATTATTGAAATCCTAAACTTTTAACTTTGAATTATTAAAAAACAACCAATATCAAGAGTACAGAGCTATGGTTGCTCTCTAGTTATCTAATCTAACGTCTAAAACTGTGTTACCATTTTAAGTAAAATTGTCTGATTTTACAGTATGTCGGCTCTGTCTGGATGCAATGAAGATTTTTGTTGTATTCTTTACGATTGTTCAGCTTTGATTTGGTCTAGAAGGTGTTGAACCATCTGGAATTAGAAATTCTAAAATGAAAAGTATTCTGATCTTCAATTGGAAGCAGTATGCCGTGTTTTTGGTTAGAATCAAATGAAATACAAAAAGTTTTTTAAAGTCGGAACTCTGTTCTGTGTAAAGTTTTATTGTTTTATTCTTACTAGTCATATTCTAGTGCTTTATTTAAACCCGATGTTTAGTTACATTTTTTTAATAGCTATGTATTAATTATATAAAAGTCCATAATTTAGATTTCTTCAGATTACAGTTCAGATTAGCCTTAGATTTAAACACAACTATTTTATTACTACCATTAAAAATGTTTGCTTTAAAGTATTTTCATTACCTTAAATATTATAACCATATGTGGTATTTAAATTCCTGAATTTATGTTAAACGTAAGGCAATACGATCATTTAATCATTTGAATCAAATGATCAGTTGTCATAGAAAAACAAAACCTTGATTTGAAAAACTTCTTTAAAGAACTCCAAATAAATGTTTGTGATTTTATTGTTCAAAAATATAAATAAATCATATGTTATGTACAAAAATTTTTGTAGTATCTATAAAAATGATGAAAAATGACATTTTTTTATGATTATTTAATAAACATAAAAACTTCATCTTGCGGTCATAAGTTATTTAATTTTCATTTCAGTGTTTGCTTACATTTTAATGGTTGTAAAATTCGCAGACACTGACTGGAGATATAGACATTGCTGCACTGAAAACTAAATATTTAAACATTTAATATAAAACTCAGTTCTTTTAAGATTGATATTTAATACAGCTCACTTGTTTATAGACTAAACAAATTTCTTTTCGAAAGTGTTTGCATTCTGTGTAAATTTGGTTGCACTTTAAATGAAAAGATTTTTAAATAAGATAAATATATTTGATATTTATTTTAATCATTTATTTTTAAACTAAAATGTATTATTTCGTAAACAAAAATTTATTAATAAATAAATTTTTATAAAAATCTTACGACAGTATTTTATTAGAAAAAAAATTTAATGTTTACAGAAAAAGTTATTAGGAAATAAATTTTTATAAAAATTATATGACAGTATTTTTAAAGAAAAAAATTTAGTGTTTATTCTTTTAAATAAATAAATAAATATAAATAAAATAAAAATATAAAATAAAATAAAAATAAATAAATATATATTAAATATTAAAATGTTTATAAGAAACCAAGCTCTTTTTGAGTGAAAATTTAAATAGAATTATTTTATTATAAATCTCATAAAAGTAGTTTTTTATACTTAAAAATATTTATTTACATTCAAACCTACACAACATTATTCGTAAAGCAATATTTACAAATACAAATACTTTACTTTTGTATTCAGAGGTTAGATGCGAAATTGAGATATTGAATGCTCCTTAGTATTCTGTGAGTTTAATTATTATCTGACAAATTGATCTTTTTGTGAAGTTTTTATTTATTAATATTCATATCATTTATGTAAATATTCAATTCTCTAATTATAATATACATTCAACGTGGTATCATATTTCATTTCTATATTGGTGAATCATATACAAAGTTATAGCTAGTAGATCACTTACACTTAGTTTGGTAAACATAGAAGTTGACAATATAAATTAAATAAGGATAAAATTCTTATCAACTATGTTTTAAAACATAATCTAATTTAGGTTAAATATAAAAATACACACAATTTGTACTTAAAGTGTGAAGAAAATCAGAGTTTATATTCCCGAAGAGGTTTTTATAAAAAACTTTAATAATTCTAAACAAATTATTGTTATTAACATATTGTTATAAATTTTTAATGTTACAAAATTTATGCAATAGTTTTCTAAATCAAAATTTAATTGTAAAATATTGGAAAAAAATTATTAACTTTCATAATTTCATTTTCTATTATTTAAACTTAAATAATTCTTAAACAATGTTACTAAAATTTTTATAAAAAAAAAATAAATAAAAAATGAAATATTAAATATATAAATCACAAAATATTTATTTTTGATATGTTATACAATAAAAAAATTATGAATAATGGTATTTAAATTAAAATTCAATAAAGTTAAGAAAAAATAAAAAATTAAATGCTATATTATCAACATATATAAATTAATTTCTAATAAATAAAATATAAATAATTGAATAATAATGGTATCAAAATTTTAATTAAAAAATTGATAAATAAATCAAAAGTCAAAAATAAATAAATATTATATTATATTATAATTACCAGTATAAATAAATTTATTTCTTATAAATATGATTAATTAAACAATGATAGTGATAACATTTTAATAGAAAATATGAATGAAAAAATATAAAATTAAATAAAGAATTAAATATTATCGTATTAATCAACAAAACTCAATTTATTTGAGGTGTATTATATTTGAATAATTAATCAGTAATAGTAATAAAATTTTAACAAACAAGATTGATTAAAAAGTACTAAATTAAATTAATAATCAAATACTATAATCACCAATACTAACATATTTATTTCTAATTGATTAAACATGAATAATTAATCAATAGTATGAATAAAATTTTAGTATAAAAAATTAATGAGAAAGTAAAAACTTTAAATATATAATTAAATATTATACATTAAGACTGAAAAGTTTTCGGAAATTCTCATTTAAAATTCGCGCGCTGTATATTTTTCGATATTTTAAGTTTATGTAGTTTGGCAGCACTGTCCTTAATTACTATGCCAAAAATGAGCTCGATCTGTCAGACAGTTCGTTTACGGCAGCTGTTGAAACCAGTTCACCTCAGTAGTGCGTTGCGAAATGTCTTCGACGGTCGTACGACCGTCCTGGAAGGCTTTGTACCACTCATAAACTTGAGTTTTCGATAAAACTGATTCCCCATAAGCCTTTTGTAGCATTCGCAACGATTCTGCACACGAAATTTCGTTCGAAACACAAAATTTGATGCAAACTCTTTGTTCAATATTTTTTTCCATTGTTTTTTTCGCAACGCCCTACTGAGGTGAACTGGTTTCAACAGCTGCCGTAAACGAACTGTCTGACAGATCGCGCTCATTTTTGGCATAGTAATTAAGGACAGTGCTGCCAAACTACATAAACTTAAAATATCGGAAAATATACAGCGCGCGAATTTTAAATGAGAATTTCCGAAAGCTTTTCGGTCACAATGTAGGCGTATCTAACTGTTTTTCAATCATATTCGTTATTCTTTTAAAATAATATATAATAATTAAAAACCGAACAGGTTAAAATACAAACATTTTCTAAATATTTTATTATATATATATATATATATATATATATATGTATGTATATGATAAATGTATTGAATTATGGTTATTTTAAGAATTGTGGAAGCATTATGTGGTGTAATTATTATTTCTAATTATTATGTTTTTGTATTCCTATCTCAGTGCAATACAACTTAAGTAACTAATACAAGTATTTATTAATTTTCAGTGAAATATTTTTAAAATTTAATGCAATTTATTTAAATAATTAAATCAGGTTCGTTAATTTTTTGTAGCTGTATGTAACGTTGCACTCATAAAAATGTATATTCTCATATGTCTGCATATAATTTTATAGAAGGTATCTACCAACCTATGTAGTTCATATGTTATAAAAAACAGTATAATTTAATTA